CGACCTAGTGGATACGTAGGGCGAGGCTGCATAATTTCGGCCGGAACACTCCCAGTCCGGTTGGTACTGTGAATGATGTGGTAGGGCTGATGAGTAGCTATCTGGCCAACGGTGCACGCCCTGTGACCTAAAGGCCGCAGGAAACTGCTACTTCTTAGAGCTTATGCGCCTGCTTACTTGTGATCCACGTAGTCCAAAGCGAAACAGAGTGCATTGTTGCCAAGATGACGTTGAGTAGCAATGACTCAGTTGTGGTGTTCTTCCGAGCTAAACACCTTTCCTTGCTATTGCGAACTGAGTGACCAGTAAACTGCGGGGAGAAAGAATTCCGATGAATCAGCTTACTGTTAGCTTTTCCATTCTTACCTTGAGAGGACGGTCCACGTGGTCATCAAGTAACTACGTGCGGAGGTCGACGCTAGGAATATAAACAAAAGCCGTATTGTTCGCGTACTTGCTTGATGGAAATTAACCGCAGAGCCGAGAGCGCCTAGGCGAAACAGGAGCAAATTTCAGAGTTCCCCTCATGTCTAAGCGGAACTTGGTGTGGTCGTACAGTCGAATAGATGCTGCTTAGGTCGAGGAGCATAATAATCATAGGAATCCTTCTGTAGCTTCACCGTGGGGCTGTCATCCCTGGGAAAGCAGTGATCCTGCCATCAGAGGGACGATAGATGCGGCCAATGTTTCCGAATTAAGAGTCAACTAGGGCAAGAAGCTCAGCCTTGAATGCTGACATGCCATGGAGCTGGGCGCAACGGTTTCCCGGACTTCGGATTTCGCAGCAACGTGGAGGAAACGGACTTGTATCAAGATGTTGAGGATGACAACAAGCGCTTAGAATCGTACAGGCGAGCATGGACGAAAGGGACCCCTAGCCTCTAGGCAGCTAAGTGTGATTCGCTAGGCTTACTGGCCTCGTGATCTAGTGTTAGCTTTGCCTCACGGCATTGTGGTCTAGTTTACTCAACGGTGATCGTGGCTGGGGTAGGGGCGTGTCGTATTGGTCGGGTTTTTAGAGAAGTAGGAGCAACAAGGGTCGTGTCATCACAGGAATGGCTACCGGGGATAGAAATCGGGCATCAGACCGCGGGGGAGGGTAGGCATTGTCAGTAGTGTCATGACGATGGTGAGGTGCGTTTGCAAGATGGTTTAGTATAACGGGCACGGAGTTGGTGGCCCCACGGACAGGTCGTGGAATAGCCCGAAAGGGAATGGCGGCATAGATACCCCAAGTACCAAGTACCTATGTAGAAGGGGTGCTTTGTGATAATTAGTACCAAGTTGTTGTCGATACATATGGTCAGGACTTGCTACGCAGCGGGAAGCGGCATCGCTCGCGTGATCTAGGATCAAGTTTATTAGTGGAGGTGAATGTGGCGCGCTGTCAGTTGTTAGGACAATGTGAGTTGCCTGTGGTGTGCAAGGCCGCGAAACGGCTGGATCAGCCGGGATACAGGTGACGAGGCGCTCTGAAACAGCCCGAAAAGCTGTCAGGATGAAGCGGCAGATGGTGGTCTCTAGGTACTCCAATGCAACAAACACTGCTCGTTATTTCGGGAGTCTCGCAACTAGTGAAAAAAAAAAGCAGCAAACAGTCTAGGAACGCATGGCGGGCAGCTCGTTCCAGCAATCGATTTTGAGGCTACACTGGCAAGATAACCACCATTCTGTTCACTATTATTACACAGAGTCCTCCAGGGAGTTGTATAATTACGTCGATTCGGTCTTTGGGGCTATTAGCAGGTCAGGGGTCCAAATCCAATACTATGGTTCAGATGCAAGATGACTGACTCTTCTGCCAGGTCCAAGTGCCGGCCGCTGTTGAGCCAGGGGTGAGAACACACGGCCAACGCCCCACGAGGGTCAACGCCGTCACGCGGTGGCGCGACCCCAACTGGCAACCCCCCTCGGTCGCTGGGCCACGCAAGCCTTTATTATTAGCCGGTGGAGGCGGCTGTTATAAATTGAAGGCTAACTTGTAAAAGGCTCTAGGAGACAAACTTGGTCCGGATTCCGGGCAGTGGGGACAGCCATCTCAGCCCAGTAATACTTAGGACTGCATGAAAGAGGAAGAGCCTAACCGCTTGAATTAGCACTAACAAGACTTGGCTCTGGTACTCCGTACACAGCCCTTCTTGGTGATTCCCTCAGCTCTGATTGGCGTGGCTTGTAGGGCAAGGTACATGGCACACAACACGAGATGGCCAAGTGACATACCAGTGTCCAGTCAGGAAAGCCAAGTCCCCGACCGGCGGCGGGGACTTTGCTGCGGGCCGGCGTGTGTTGCAATAACTCCGTAACTAGTTATTACTGACCAATCTGAAATACAATCAAGGGTCTCGAACCGGAATGGTCTAAAACGGTGTCTGGTCTCCCGGCATACTGGTAGTTGTATGGAGCAATTAGTATTTCCGGACTGGAACTAATGCAAACACGGGTCACATGGGTCGTCGCTACCTGGATATTACAAGTTGACAAGGCAAATAGTAATAAGCAGTGCGCAGCGCACAGCACTCGCGTCGGAGGGTCCTAAACCACGACCAAAAGCTGACCAGAAACACGGCGAGGGTGCGACGAGTTCCGAATACATTGTCTAGGCTGGTGAATACCTGTTGATACAGTTACTAAGGTCTCGCCGTTTCTCGTCTTACTTCTACGCGTTATTTGTGAGATTTTGTTGCAACTTTGGACGTATAAGAAGAACCCTTGAGCGAACCAGCCGTGATTTTGACCAGCAGAGCATGGTAGTAATTCGTCAATACAGTGTGTAGATGGTTGTTTATCTGTAAACTGTTCACGGCCTATCGGCGGCGACGGGCGCTACTTGATTAGCTCCTAGGTAAAATCAACTCATTCAAGCGCAAGGGGAGGTAAATAGAGGTCACAGTAAGGGAGGCAGGGTAAAACCCGTCCGTCCCGGATCAAGCAGCGATTGGCTAGTTATCTAGTATCGATTTAAATAGTCAGGCTGCATGATCACATCACAACAGTGTCGTGCGCGCACGCCACTGGAGAAGAGCAGACCACACCAAACGGTCTGGCCAACCCGCCAGATCAGGCTCACTTCAGCCTTGCGAAGGGGCGTGTGGCAGACTTTGCAGCGGAGGAGCAAAGGCAAACAGGGCTCGACCGGGCCAAGACGCCAAGGGACGAGTGGCGGACTGAGAGACAGCCCTGGATAAACGAGGGTGCATCTGGTCGCTTGGGATGTATTGGAAGCGAGACTCACGGGTGGTGGTAATTCGTTACATAGACAGCTGGTTGGCGTTTGACGGGTTTCCTGGACGTTGAGGAGGGGCCCTGGGCGGAGCTGCTAGAAAAGGCCGCCCGGAGCGGAACGGACTATTGGAGTGATGCGTCCTGGGCAGGCATCACACCGGCGATAGCCATCGGCGATAGCGAAAGGAGATGGAGAGCTGCATTTTGACAAGATCTATAGCCTACTGAGTAACTATTGCCGGCCTGCGCTCCCCAACATTGACAGCAAGTTCCGTCTATTTATGACTAGTATTAGAGGCCTACATATGTACCAGCGGTCGCAGTATGTCGTTAGCTACCTACCTAGGTACGTTTAACTACAGGTAGCTAGCGGTAGTAATGGCAGTCCCACCCCTTGGCGGCGTGCCTATATGTACTAACGACGCTTGTAGGCTTGGTAGCCCACTGCGCACCAACCCCTCCTTGGAGGCGTACAGAGAGAGGGCATGCTGAAGGGGAACAGTCTGGACGAATTAGTTATTTCTACCTAGGTAGGATGTGGTGGCAGTGAGATACCTTAGGTGGTCCTGGAGTGAGATAGGTGGTCGGTATCGTGGCCGGCGGCGAGCTCCTAGGTACGGGTCGGTCTGCGAGGCACACTACCTGCCCGTTCACCAGTATATGCACGTCCAGTACCACCTTCATCAGCACTGTAGCTGTGCGTGCTGCAACGCCATACAGGTAGGTACCTTGGTACGCAGCGCCCATTTTCGGTAGGCCCACCGACCAAGCACACACCTCCAGAAGCTCTCCCCAGCGCTCTAGGCCTGGCACGCCCCCCCTGGCCGCTAACGCAACTCCCTCACCCTCTGCCAGGGCCCCGCCACCACCACCACACACCACCGTACACGTACATTGCTACTAAGGCAGTATTCGTGCTAGTAGGGGACAGTCGCTCGCTTCTACTGGTACGGGCCAAGACTACAGGGCACGATTTTGGTGGGTTCCAGCGGGCTACGGGCTGCGTAAGTGTCCCCTCAGGCCGCGGAAACCTTAATAGTGCAGGATGCTGGGCGGCGAAAGCCAAGAGCACAGCGTCGTCCTCGAGGCTTCAGGCGAGGGAGGCGGGGGCCTACAGGCGACCGGCGGGCGGGCCCTACGGCGCCTTACCAAGGCACCGCTCAGCCGTGGGAAATAGCGCCTGCCGTTTTTAATTTGGTATATGTACGCAAGCCGCCCACTCCCTCCCTCCATCTTGTCCAACGCCCTCTCTGAATCCCTCCGTTTCTGCTCGACATTGTCACCATCGTCTCCCGTGTTCCGGCTCGATCCTCATCGCCGGCCTTGCATTTCAGCTTCCCCGACTCTGATCCTCGCCGTCGACCTCTTTTTCTACTACTGTTGATTCTGCAGTTCCGGCCCCCCAAGGCACCTTCATCGCGTCTCCTCGCCGGTCCTCCCGCGCTTCCGGGTCGAAAAAAGTCGTCGTCATCACCTCGCCTCTCCACACGCAGACAACCACCGCCGCCTCGGCGCGACAACTTTGCACTGCCATCGTGCCGGCTTCTTACAATCTACGCCTCATCATCCTCGCCAGCGCCTCTGCTATTTTAAAACGCAATTCGTCCAAGTCAAGTCACCCGGACGGTCCGCCCGACAGTTCCGTCTACTCTATGCCGCTTGCACCTACGTCGTAATCAATCTGCTACATAACTCCCGGCTTCGCTCGCCTTCACTTGCCCATCCTGGCAGCGCCACAGCCCGACCCTCCTTCTCCAAGTGAACAAGACAACGCCGCAATGGCATGTCCTCCTTCGTACCGCGAGCGTGCGCCTCCTTTACCAAGCATCAAAATCCACGCCGGAGATCGCTTCTCCTCACACGATATGCGCCTTGGCCAAACCGGTGCCATCCCTATTCCCGGCATTGAGCATCGCCATTATGCCCCTCCGCCTCTGCCCCCGCCCCCCGAGCCTTTTACTGAGCCGCACCGCCGTCCTGACGATATCAAGAGAGAACGCCGAGGCTACGCCAGCAACTATAGCAGCTTCAATTCACTTTATGCCGACCAACGACCCAGCCTCAAGCGCCGAGACACGGGCAGCACCACTGGTGACGAAGGGTATGCCAGCTATGCATCTACGGACCGGTATGCCTCTGATACAGAGCAACTGCTGCCTCCACCTCGACCATTGTACTAACTAACCTTAACCAGGTCTCGCGAGTCCTTTCCTACTGAATTTGTCGCCCTGCAACATAACAATTTCAGTTTTAAGTCTGCCGCCGACAGCCACTGCGACAGCATGAAGGCTAAGCTTGATTGCTTGCGACCGTTGGATCGACCGCCGGCCCGCTCCATGGTCAGCGATATATCTCACAGAGAGGCTCGCCTCGCCCCTCCCGCTAGCCTCGCCGTCCAGCTTCCCATCCATAGCCGCGAGCGTAGCCTTTCAGAATCGCGTGAGTCGTCCTTGTCCAATTATCGCCATTACGACCGATCGCTCAAGGACGGTTCCGAACTCGACTACCCTTCGCCACGCAACCGCTCACGCCGCAACACTGGCGACGATACCAACTCTGTACATGGAGCCTACGACCACCATACTCTTGACGATATGGAGATGGAAGAAACCAGTTCTTTAAAGCGTCTGTACATTGACGAGTCGCACTCCGCAGCTGGCCAGAAGCGCAGAGCCCCTAACCCTCCCGATGAGTATGGTGCCCATGACCATGTCGGTTTGGCTGAAACCATGCGCCGTCGGGAAGGTGCCGTTCGTTCATCGCCGACTCCTCGACTCGCTACGATCCCCCAGGGATCTTCACTCGTAGCAACGTCGACCACTGCTACCTCTCGAACCAACTCGTACCTGTCTACGCTCTCCATCCCTTCTCCACAGAATGGGACTACCTTTAGCCACCGGTCGCCAGGTGGCATCTCCTCCAGTGGTGTCTCGCCCGCTAGCTCAACCTCACCATACACTGCGTCGTCGCTCAACCCCAGTCCCCGCAGCTCCATTTCCCGTGTCCCTACCCATGGTAGGGCGCCGTCTGGCAGTAGTCCTCGCAAGGTTGTTGAACCTGGCAAGGCCGCCATCACGAAGCTGCAGGGTTTTTACATGTGCGAGTGCTGCCCCAAGAAGCCCAAAAAGTTTGACTCGGCCGAAGATTTAGCGTAAGTCATCTGCCCTTATCACGCGGAATAAATGAGCGAGCTGACTCTCTCCTTGACAGTGCTCACGAAGCTGAGAAGCAATATGAATGCAACTACTGCGGCAACCGCTTTAAGAATAAGAACGAGGCTGAGCGCCACCAGAACTCGCTCCATGTGCGACGCCACAGCTGGTCTTGCTCTGCCCTGTCAGGCTATGACCGAGCCTTCCATGAGTCGACTAACCGGCCTGGAGAGGCTGACGTCTGCGGCTACTGCGGCGACGAGTTTCCTCGCACAGGCGTTGCGCCTGGCACTGGTGCTCTTAGCGGTGGCGTCGTCCCAAAGCGCCCTACTGACCAGGACTGGGACGAACGCATCCGCCACTTGCAGGAGATTCACAAGTTTAGGGAATGCAACTCTTCCAAGAAGTTCTACCGTGCCGACCACTTCCGCCAGCATCTCAAGCATAGCCACGCAGGCACCAGCGGCAAATGGACAAACATGCTTGAGAATGCCTGCCTCATGGACGAGGAACCTGTGCAGCCTGGCAATCGAAACTAGACAATCGGACTTGATAGGGTCCAACGACGACAACAACGACAACAAAGCAAGGCAAAGAGCGCCCTGCACATATTGCGCTCCTTTGCAACGAATTTTACGACGCATCTTTGAACGGGCAGAGTTGATCCAAGTCATTCAACGGCGTTTTTGTGATTATATACTAGGCAATGATATTCGGAACATGTACTTTTTTTTGGTCGTTTGGGGGCAAATTGGCTTGAAAAGGGCGAGGTGGTAGGATACCACAGTAAAAACCCTGATGGAAGCATCTGGATACCCACGTGAATAGTTGCATCCTCATTTACTATTTACTATTAGATCGGCTGGTGTTGCGGAGCCGGAAAAGCACCAAATACAGACAGACAGCCTCCTGGCAGTCTTGTTTTGCACTTACTATTCTATCACCGTTTCCGTGTTGTGACGCAAGATGTAGCAAAGCATGGGCTATCCAGGCTGTCCAATAGAAACAAGGTCACGCCATTGCCAAGCACCGCCAGGCTCGCCGCTTCTGGGACTAGCAGCAGTCTCGATAAAGTGGCTGGGCTGTGTTCGCAAGAGGATGCCTCGAAAGGATAGCTGCTGGAGAAGGATAGATAGATACTGGAGGGCTAGGTGAGACCTTGTCCGGAGTACATATAAGCTCAATACTGATGCGATCTGACAGGCGGAAAGCCCTTCTCGTGCCCTATCTCAGCCCTACGAGCAGCACCAAGCCGCAAGCCTTGCCATGATTCCAGAATCATGCAGGCTACCAGCACACGTTACTGCAAACTGGATCGTCCTTTTCTTGGCGGTATGAAGGGGTGTACTTGTATTTACGCAATGCAACCAGGGACGGCATCTCTATCAGAAAACGGACTTAACCCGTCTTTTGGTATAGCCCCGGGCCAGGAGGCGACCAAAGCGCACACAGGGATGCTATATCCGTGACGCAAGTTTGTTTTCTGGGTAGATGTACTATATCAAAATACCAACTACATAGTCATCGGAATACGGAAAAACTCAGGCGTGACAAAAGCGTAGTATTTTCCGCTGGTCTCATGTACATGGTATTAGCTCGGAAGTAACGCCGCGTGCAAAAAAAGAAGGTTTTAAAAAAAGGTTTTAGAAAAAAGGTCTAGAAACAAAGACTAAAAATGTTTATAATTTCAGCAATTTGATTCGTCCCGGCCCGACAGGAATCACACTCATTCTTCTTCCATGACCGCCGCCCGTCTGTTGGCACGGATCATCATTACGCACACACAACAACAACAACAACAACATATGCACGACGACGAGGACGACGAGAACGCACGACAAAACACGGCGCGCCTTGCCCTAGGGCTGAGCTTATTTCTTGTTCTGGGCAAGGCAGGAAAATGCTCAGAAAGGGTGGACAGTACGACGACTAGATGGACGGGATCTACGGAGGAACTAAAAGCTCTTTGCTTTGAAAAGCCCAGCGCTTGACCGGACTGGATTACGCGTATTTCCTTATTTATTTTCTCCAGCGACCCCCCCACCCCCTCTCTTACTTGTCTGCTCGGCAAATGCCGCGTCCAAGAAGGGACATGCAGGCCGCCCGCCCTTTTCTGTCGAAAGCCATCGACTGATCATCTTTCGACAGTCTCCCCTGTATCACGGATAGAGATTTCCCAACACAAAGCTATTATACCAGTTACAGCGTGCAACTTGGTTGGTTCCGACTGTGTGGCTCGACTTGGCCCAGCCAGCCATGTTTCATCAAACGAGCACATGACGCGACACAAAGTAATCTTCTCGTCCATCAGACTTCACTCTGTCTAATTTTTCCTCTCTCTATCTCTGACAAGGCAAAAACCCCCCCACTCCCCGAGACAGAGAAGCTTGTTATTAGTGCGAGAAGCCATGGAGTTTCCGTTGACGCCGGAGGGCCAAAACTAGTGCGTCCGGCGGCGCCATCTTTGCTCCTGTTTCTTCCCAGTTCCCGAAACTAGACCCATTGGCTAGCTAGCCTTCTCATAGGGCAGGGACGAAACAAGAACTGACGATCCCAAGGCGCAAATCCTCGTTGGTGGATCATCATCAGCCGCGGGTCGTTGCAGTTCTGACATGACGGACCTCGCTCTTGTTTAGCTGGACGGTTTCGCCTAGGGAATCGCCTCCAAGGTTTCACGCTGCCATTTTCATTCGAATCTTCATCCACGCGCTAGCACAGCTCATCACCGCCAAAAATAATACCCCCAGGCCAAGCTTCGTCCAATGCCCTTTTCAAAACACGGCATCCAACACCATAATGATCAACCACTGCTTGTCCCTGTCATGGGTGTGTCGCCCTCGGCCGGCAAAGTCTTTTCTCCAGAAACCGTCCGTTGGGGCTGAAAAATGCGGATCCTTGGTCATCAATGGGACGAACCTAGACCACTTTGCGGAGTTGCGAGCGCTTTGAAGCCCAAAAGTCATGGACAAAAGGGTCTAAACGCAGTAGCTGGCTGGAGCAACCGGATAAACGTAGACCGCGTTACAGACATCTTGTAAGACGGAAAGTTGCCAGATGACGTTTTCCCGCCAGGATGGCTTTTACCACTATGTTTTTTACATGTACCAAGTTTTTTTTTTCTTACAAGCTGAAAAAGCTCGTCAGCTTTCATCATGGCTTCAGCTCTCTCAGCTGTCACTGGCCAACCGCTCGCCTTTATTCTCAATATGGCAACGCAAAGTGGACAAGAAAGAGAAGAAGAAAACTTCCTTGGCACTGCCTTGTAAGGCTTGTAAGGCAGAGAAACGCCTGCCGATCCTCTTTCTGGACAGAAGCCGGACACACAAGCCGTGGCGGGAAAAGAGCTTGTCAGCAACTGCCGTTTCGGCCGGCACGCCTTTGGTCTCCCAACCCCGTCAATTCAAGTCCGACCCTTGGGGAACGTTGCAAAGAAATCTGAGCTAGCCCCCACAATCCCGAAGGAACCAACGACCGCAGTTGTGAACTGGAGGGTTCCGTCGTGCAGCCCAAAAGACGCTGCAAACACCCAACCCACTCGGCTCCGTCGGTGCATCTCTGAGCGAGGACCTATGGTGCAGAAACGATCAATCCCAAAGGAGGGGGAGTTGCGGCATGTCTATGAATTTTGGGGGTTGGGTTGCGACGAATCGTTCACCAAGCCTACAGAGAGAGCTTTATTCGACAAAGACGACAGGTCTTTTTTCTTCTTCTATGAAGAGTCTTTCCTCTCAGTTGTTTCCCTAAATAGGATGCATTGGCGGCCCTCGCTGCTTAGCCCGAAAGAGAAAAGGCCGAGAGGAACGGAGGGGACCCAGACACCCTCACACATCGTCAGAGAGGAGAATGGAAGGGCCTGTCAGCACCCTATTTCATTGTCCACATGCGCCACCCTGCACCTGGCGGAGCAGCGTCGCATTGTTCAGCACGCAGATCTTGTCAAGCATTGTGTTTTTTCCCGCTGCGTTGCCGGTAAGCTTTGGGCAGGGTGTTGTCTATCACATCCGCCGATTACGATTTGGTGGTGTAGGGATGATGCCAGTTTGCAGCAACGACGTAAAGAAAACAAGGACGGTTGGTGCCCATGTATCGATCCATAAATTCTAGTCTTCTGGTGGATTTGAGAAATAGACACGTTTTGGAAACGACAGGCTGTGCTGGGGTTCTTCTCGTGTAGGCGTCGGCTTCTTCTCTTCTTCACGGCTTACATGAATCCCGTTGCCCAATACATACATCGCCTGGCCCGGAAAATCTTTCGACAAGGGAAAGACAGGAAGCCAAGAAAAGAGCAAACGCCTTCTCGCGTGGCTTCTCCCAGCCTTGCCTGCACTGCCGCCTTTTGGGCTGCGTGGCGCTGGGGCGTTGCCAAACTCTCGCTCCCTGAAAGGGAGCACGAGGCAGGGCCTTCTTTTTCGGGCCTGATGAAATCTTACCACAGCCCATCGAAGATGTGACAGGTTGAGCAAGTACTGCTGCCCAAGATGAAGACCTGGCCGCAAGGAATGCAAGTGTGCTGACAAGTCGGCAGTTGACACTTGCCGGGATTGGATGAACAAGTGCTCTTGCAGATGGCGTCATTTCTTCTGAGGCAACCCCGATGGGACATTTGTAAAGGGTTGCAATCCGTTGAACATTATTCGTCTCTCATGCGCCTTTTTATCTACCGTACCGCAGCGCGCCCGGCTCTAAGACTGTGAGTGTTACCGTTAGTTGTGCAACACAAAGCTTTCTAGTCGCATCGTATACTCTTTTACGGAACTGGGAATGGGCTGATGCCAATATTTACTGACAAGTCCAAGATCTTGTAATTGTCGCCCCTCATGGTGCTAGACGGGCTGTCAGCGTTCGGGATTCCACTGTCTTACATCCGTCCTCGGAGGACTCCCCTGAGGACCCTTCCAGAACCCTTTACATGTCAAACTAACAGTGGGAGCTAACGTTAGTGACTTGCTAGCACACCAAGCTTTGAATGGGTGGTGCGGTGGCTTCGGCCGAGTGGGAACATGAAATCCTTCGGTGGCATGAGCAGTGATGCCTTGCAAGGCTGCACACCATCCGTACCAACACACCCCCCCTCCTATTCATTCTGCTCACGAAGCTGGACAAGAAGATTTATTTCTGGAAAAGGCGAGAAATCGATGCCTTGCTTCCCGAGGGAGCGATTGCCAGCCTCACTTTCTCTCTTCAGCCCTCTTTGTTGGGCGGCCAAGCCCGAGCCTGTAGGAAAGTTTTACGACAGGTTTTCCGCATTTCCGTCGTGGTAATATCCTTCATCGTGGTTGGTCAAGAACAAGTGTGATACTTACTGATAAATCTGTGGTGCATCGTACCGTCACACCGCAACTGATGGTCACGGCTCGCCATCTTACTCATGCCCCTAGTGGCGCACTATCATTGCAGAAATTGAGAATTTTCGGACTCATACTACCCTCTCGTAGCTGGCCCTAATGTTGCCGCCGTCCTGGCCCTTCTTGTCCGTGTGCGTGCGTCTTTACAAAGCTACACGATATTACAAAGAACAATCGTCCACAAGACAGCATACTCACTACCGTAATAATTTAGTATCAAGTATTACCGCTTCGCCCTGCAAGAGAGTCTGTGCGAGGCAATATTTCACTTTGTGGCCCATGACGGCCTCTCGGCCATTTCTGTCCTCGGACAATCCACCGTGTGTTCTCCGCCTCGTTCATTCAGGCTTCTCATCCCGTGGCTCGTTTATTAAGGGTCTTCGGGAGGCTTGCCTAGGGACGGCGCTATTCGATACAGGCAGCCAGTACTCCTGGACACACCACCCCCCTCTGAGTCTCTGCAGGGACAAGCAAGGAAAATTTGGACTCTTGAATCCACGAGCGTGGGCCACCTGACCTGTTGATGGCCTTGCGATTTCAGCATCACCTACGCGCTACGTTGTTGGTCGTTGAGCAAACGATCTGCCGGTAGCCGATAAGTCGTCTCATCGTATTTCTATGAGCTGACTGTTGCGATATTGTAACCATGTAGCTTCTGGAGATCTCAATCAATTGTGAGTGTATAATTCTTCCCTTGACTACTGTGACACGAGGAGCGACTGGCTATATTGCCCAATGTCAGGTACGTATAACTAAGCTGTAAATAATGGTTCTCTTCTTGTGAGATGTTCTAAGTCATGGATAGATCTAGGGTAACTTGTATAACCTCCCCCGACTGCGCGCCAGCACCACGACTAACTTTGGCGACGCCTGGTACCTCTCTGCCATCATGACCTAATGCCCTCGTCAAGCTCTCTTCTCAGCGCGTCTTCAAAAGAGTTGGTACTATACGCAGCAGAGTATCAATTCTTCTATTCTTCTATTCTTCTATTTCTTCATACAAATAGAATAGCGAGGCAGCAACAACTGCCTCGCCATCTGCAGTGCCTCCTGAGCACCGACCGCAGGATCATATCAAGCCAGCCCAAAAGGTCCCGTGTGTACGGGTCACTTCTGGCTCGGGTCGTACTCGAAACAGGAACGCATTAGTGAGCCTCTTGCTGGTCGTGCTGTAGATATCGTTACACCTAGACCCCTGATTGATAGTGACGGTGGGATGCCTTCATCGGCCGTGCCGACCAGAACAGAGCCGGGCTCAGGATCAGAGGGGCTGAACGTCAGGATTGCTTTATGGGGTCTACTTCAAGATATTTTGCAGCAAATATAAAATGACCATCTAGTTTTGGATCGTGGGAAAGGACGTGGTAGTCGCGCCTGGAAGTTCTCCGTTCGTACAAACTGCCGAGGTACATGGAACATGTCCCCCGCTTCCTCGTGGCATCAATTCTTGGTTCTTGGTGACTCTCGGTAGTGGAATTGTTTTATTAGATGCCAAAATCTCCGTCGATGTAATATCACACGCCCTGCCAATTACAAACTCCTCTGCGTAAGTCTTCTCCAAAGCCAGTCCGGCGCGTTGAACACATGCCAGCACTTCTACGCTACAATATCCAGAGGCTGGACGCCTACGTCCCATTTTAAGACACCCTCAGGTCGTCGACAGCTTCCATCTGCTGTAGTCTCTTTGCACTGCTTCGGGTCAACCACCAACAGAGTTCTTGGCAGTCAGCTTTCTGGCGCGTGAGCTTGGCGAGGCCGCCAGGACATGTTTGAAGAAGGCAGGCCTGATAAAAAGAAAATGAGAGCAAGACTTGTTGGTTAACAATAAGACGCAAAACTTTTGATGATCAAGACAGAAGATAGAATGGACTGATACATTGCGCAGGCTTTGCACCTGCTGGTTACCGCCGAAGTCCCTATATCGGAGCAGCGCCTCCTACAGTTGCCTTTCTCCACCACCACCGAGAACGATGGTTCGGGATGGAACCTAAGCTTTTAAGCTTATTCATGAATTATATAGGAAAGAGCGCCATAAATATATTTGATTGCCCTTAATGAAGCTGGCGACGATACTGGCAAGGCTGCGGCTGTGGGCGACAACATCATGGCAGATCGCAACGGACGTTATCGTTGCTTGGCGTTGCAAGACTAAAAGCTCAAATACAAATATTGCAACAATTCTTAAACTGCGCTAAATCCTTCATTTGAACTAATCCTACGTATTAGCGAGTATATTTTCCCAGCCAGTACACGGAATCGGGCCGTGCAAGTGTCAAATCCACCAGAGCAGCTCCTGCTTCATTCCGGGCTTTGCCGTACTTCTCGTGATTATTTGTGAGCTGTGGTAATCCCGCCCGCGGCAGGCGGCCGATCAGACGAAGAAGAGGAAGCCGTGAAAGGCGGAAGTGCAAGGCGCGCTAGGAAGGCTTTCGCAGGCCGGAACGGTTGACCAACACCGGCGTACCGCACATCGGACATGTCATCATACCTAATCTCTACTATTCAGCATGGATTTCAAGCTCGACTTTCTTCTTTTAACTAAATGATAAAAAATCCCTTTCCACAAGTAAGGTATTGAAACAAGTTCAGCGGACATCCTATCTCGTCGGTTTCACCCACTAATACCAAGTCAACGCAGATATTGCCCGTAAGTCGATACTTGCTGAGAGAGGATCACCGATGGTAGTTGCAGTTTGGATATGGTCGCCTGTAAGAATGTGCACGGAAATGCCGGCTTCACGGCACTGCATCACAGCGCTGGCAGTTTCTAGGCGTAGAGGGTCGTACAGCCCGGCCAGGCCGAGGAAATGCAGGCGAGATTCACATTTTTGATGATCATAGGCTTCCTCGGGTGAGTATTTTACCACCTTATCCGTAATATAAAGTATACTAAGGCCTTCGCTAGCAAATAACTCTGCTTTAGCAGTGATCTTGGCCTTGAATTGTTCCGTCTTGTATAGGATTGGAAGTAGGACTTCCACAGCTCCTTTGGTATAAACATGGTGACACGGGTCGACCTCAGTGCCGTAGACCACAGTCATAAGCTTGCGAACAGAACCCCGCGGACATTTCAAGTTAAAAAAGCAAGCCAAAAGAGACACTAAAACCCATATTTTCATTTGCAAAAATGCAACTGTTTGTCCGTGTAAGTGACCTTGCTCAACTGTGCACGTGATGAAACACGTGATCTCAAATTTACGATATCCAACGAGCTACCTGCAACAGGTGGACGAAGCTACAATTTCAGTCCCTTTGCTCAATTGCGACAACTATTTCCCCCGCGCAGACGACACATTCGTCAGGTTCACCGCCCATCATGCCGCCCAAGCCCATCCGCCTACCTCCCCTCGAGGTTCTGCGCGTCAAGAACCCGAAGCGCAACCCCAAGAACCCCTGCACCATCGTCATGTCGAGCGTGCTCGGTACGTCCCTCCGTCTCCACCCCCCTTTTGCGATTCTTATTGACAAGAGAATAAAAAACAGCCTGCTGGGCATCGGCGGGATACAACGCCGCCGGGTGCGCCGCCATCGAGACGCAGCTGCGACAGTGCATGGACGGGCCCAAGCCGCAGCCCGCGCCAGCCAACACCATCAACCACCACATGGGCCGTCTAGGCAAACACATCACCTACAACGGGAAGCCGACGTAGAAGAATAATCACAATCGACAAGGGCAAAGTGAGTCCTTTTTTTTTTCGGCGGGGTCCAACGAAGCTCGGCGCGACATGAAGCCGAGGGTACCGGGCGGAACAAGACAACCCTCGAAAGCAAACGATTGTGTTCAAGCGCCATTGGAACGGAGATGGAAATCAACAAGGACGCTCTGTCAATTTTTGGGCAAACGAAACACGACAAGAGAGGAGTCCGGAGGTCTCTGCGCTTGCTTGACTCGACGGAATACGAAAGATATCGGCGTTTTTTTGTTTGTTGGAAATAGAAAACGGTACCTGCGAGCGGTACCATGTACAATATTCATTGCGGAATGGAACTGGCTCATAGCAAGCCTTTACAGCGCTTCATTATGTAGAAACCGATGTACAATACAAACATCTACACCTTGACCTTGACTTCATCACAAGCTCGCTACATTCTAGCAGGATTTTGGGTTTCACAGTGTACAGACGAACGTGTGAGTTTAGTGTAGTGTGTTCAATTCAGCTTCCCCTCAATCCATGCCAAAGCTGCCACGACATTTCAGGCCCACCAGCGGTATTCAACCAAAAAATCTAGCTGCGTCAAGAAAAAAAAAAGAGAAGAGAAGAACAAAAGACAGTCTATCCAGCGTTGTTGAATGTAGAAGCCACGCCTCTCTCCCTTCCTCCCTACAGCCTCGACAACCAGTATAAAACACACCAATCTCTAGATATATAATGTGTCTCGTTTTTCCTCCCTCCTCCTTTGCTTGTGCGAGCAAACACGCAGACTGTGGCGGCGACAAGTATGGAAAAAAGTATAAAATGAACCCAAAAAAAAAGGAAAACGATGCAACTTCCGAGGAACGGAGAAGAAAAGGCAAGAAAAACAAAGAAATGGTCCAAAACAACAGAACATGCTGAATGCACTCATCTCCATACCCGCGCCTAAGAATATTTGTGATCGCCTGCGCCGAAAAGCAAACCCAAAAACACAAAAAACAAATGAACCAAACGAAGGTGGTGTATAAGATAAGACTGTAAATGCCAGAGGCCCCGAGAAATGTGTAAAATCGGGACCAGAAAATGGGAAATGTCAAAAGGAAGGTTGTTGTGTTTTAAGTGAAAATCGGCCCAGCGAGGAGAGCGGTATAAGAAGCCCGGTGCGAGCGCTGTTGATCGTCAAGAATAGATGCGTGCTTATTGTATAGGGAAAGAATCGCTCGCGTTTGGACTAATGCGGAAAAGACGGACATGCATTGCCCATTCTAAGAAGCGTCACCCACGCAGAACAGCTCAATCTCACCCACACCACCAGAGTACATGTTGCGCACGCCTTCCCGCCACTCCATAAAGGCGATCTGAATGTCATCGTCGCTCTCAATGGTGACAAAGTCGCCGTCCTCGTCGCGGTAGCGGAGCTTCAGAATCCCCTTGCTGATGCTGCTATTCATGAAGCGCGCGAGCTTGGCGTCGATGCGGTCGATCAATGACTGGTAGCTAATATTAAATGCCACGACGAGCGTAATGTAGTTGCCGCTGTCACAGTTGACGCGGACCTTGAGCTGCGTGGGTAAGGGCATATCGCTAGAGTAGTATTCACCAGAGGACAGGCCGAGTGGTGCGCTCGGTAGGGCAGGGGATGGATTTCGCGAATTGCCGGCTGCGGGATCGACGCGGAGGATCGCCGAACCCTGGCTGCTTGGTGTGTTTTGGCGTGGGTATATTGGCTGGGCAGGGAAGTGTGACATGGTGCCACCAAGACTACCGGAATGCTTGTGCAGGGGCTGTCGAGCGGCCCCAGGACTGTTGCTATTCGTTCGAATGGGTAGCTCGTTTCGCGGAGAACCGTTTTGGGATCGCGCAATATGGCTGTCGTGCAGGTGTTGAGGGATACCAGGCACTGCTGGGATGTTCCCCTGGCTTGGTTGCCGTTGTCGCGGAAGGCCAGGAATGCCAGCATCGGGGGTGCTATACGAGCGGCTGCGCTGCTGCTGTGCCGAGCTAGAATTGGATGCCATCACTGGCAGTGACGGGCCGCGGGGAGGCTTGTTGTAAGACGAGGGGGGGCCATCGCGAGACGGGGCACGAGGCATCGCAGGCGCTGTGTATCGGGCATTCTCGTCCCAACTAGAGCCGGAGGAGCCGCCATTCTTATTAGGAAATTGATAGGGGGGGCCTGGAAAGACGCCGCTTGTGGTGCTGGCGCGAGAGGAAACTGGCGAGTCGGCAACAGGTGAAAAGTAGGAGTCGCCGCCTCGGGCTCCGGGCGATGGCGCGCCGTTGCTTCCCGTTTGCAGGCTTAGGGGCGCGGGGGGGAATGGAAGCGGAAATCTAGGCGGCGGTGCTCGAGCAATGGATGCCAGAGACTGCGTACTCTCCCCAGTCATGGATCTTTGACGAACGCTGGAGCTCGAGGATATGCGAGGCAATGCTGCGCCTGGTGGGGCTGGGAAGTGTGTAGGGCCGTATTCGTCGTCTTCGTCTTCGTCCTGGTGGAGGTAAGGGTTCTCGAGATTGTGGTCTCGTGTCCAAGCGAAGTCTTGGTGCGCAGTCTCGTTGCTCACTGACATGCGTGGTGCATTCCTCTTCCGCTGTGTCTCGAGGCCGATAGCCCACGTCTTCATCATTTCCTCGTGCACAAACTTGATGGTAAAGTTTTCCACGCCAGGGTCGCCCTTCCACCATATTTGAACAGAGTGAGAGCCCGGCTTAGAAAGAGACACGATATCTGTCACGTTAGTCATGAAAATTCTGCCCTTCAGCTGCAGCTTGGCGTTCTTGTTCTTGAGTTTAGGACCCTGAGAACGCGTCTTGTCCTTTTTCTCCTTGGTCTTACTACCCGAGGCCTCTTTGCAGCAGAGCAAGATGTTTTCAAACAGATAGATCTCATAGTCCTTCTCTTGCTCGGTCTTGCCTGTGATGACGCCATATATTCCGTGTAGTAGTAGGCAACCAAATTGTTCCACTCTATGTGATTTCCAGTCGTCTACTCTGACGATGAGCTCATCGAGGGCTTCGTCCAGCAGGTCGCGGTGAACAGCATCGTTAGCCTTGTGAAGTACTCGCTCGGCGGCCTCGCAGCCTGTTTGCAGGTCTTCCTTGATCTCTTCGTCGTCCGTCTTTTTATTGAGATCCTTGAGAAGCAGAGGGTACTTGACAAGGCGTTGCATGGGCTTGAGCAGGAAGCCGTCCAACGTGTTGAAATCGGTCGCGACTGGGTGTTCTGATAGTTGTATCTTGTCGAAGACCAGGTTGGCGATTTGAGCGGCTTTGCGCTGATTGGCGATGAAGGGTTGGTAAATGTCGAAGGCGCTTTCGTAGAAGCAGAACGGTGCGCCCCATCGCTGATCGTCCTTGTGGACTGAATTGGTCGTCTCAACACGAATGAGGAATCTGCGTTGGAAGTCGAGAATGGCGTTGATGTTGAGAAATATTTGGTGGACAATATCGCCAGGGACGTCGCCTTTCTGCTCTAGTCTCTTCTTGAGGTCATGCAAGTTCTCCAAATCTTGGACATATTTGCGCTCAGTGTCAACAAGTTCCTTGACAATGTGGTCTCTGTAGCTCATAGTGCCCGGGGGTGGCAACCCCGAGTCTGGTTCGGGCAAGAACTGCGGTGGCAGCAGGTGTCCATTTTGCTCGGCGATGTCGAGTACATAGTTGACCACTTGCGTTACCTGGGATGGAGAAGAGAGGTTAGCAGAGGTGAGAGGGACGATCGAGGGGCACGAACCTTGACAAAGCCACTCGTGTCATTTCCCATTAAATCCGTAATGACAAAGGTATCAGCAGGAGGCAATTGCAGCTCCCTAAGGCAGGCTTGGACGAATTTGAAAATGGCAATTTTTGATTTCTTGGCCTCGGAGGCATTGGGGTCCTCGACCTTGAGTGGCTCACCCTGCAGACAGTTGTAGATGACGAGGAGAGGGTGACCTGAGCGGAACAGGTTCCATAGCGAATCAACAGGGTCGGCGGGATCCAGCTGGTCGAGATAGGGCTGGAAGTCGGGGACCTGGGATAGGCGCTGTTTGAGGGAGACGCAGATCTGGTAGAGGGAGCGAGAGGCATCGGCCTTTTGATTTATGATATTTGAGGTAGCGATGACGGGGCCACCATTCTGGGGGACAACAGTTGCGTTGCTGCTGAGGGAGCTGAGGGAGGCAGACGAGCCATTGTAGGTGGTGGCACTGGAAAGGTGGCTGCTTCGAGGAGCGCTATTCATCTTGGTCAGGCTTCCGACGCCGTTTGTGGTTTGCAGGGCCGGAGCTGTGTTGGTTCTCATCAAAATAGCGTGCGCCATGTCCTATGAGCCCATCCGCGGGGCGTGCTGGAGGAGCACGTTGCGAAGACGTCGGGCAGACGTTGGAAGCGGGACGAAGCCTTGCGGGCGGGCGGCCTTGTGGTGGGTGGGTTTGGTCGGTATGGGGGGAAGCAAGTTATCGCGACAGAGGCGGCAGGAGAGGGCGAAAATCTAGGGCGCCGGACCGTGGCTTTATGGAAAATGGCAGAGGGAACGACGTGTGTGCTGGAGGAATACCGCCGTGTGCGCAGACAGCCGGCGGGGTGGGTGTGCTGCGTGAGTGTGTGGGATGCCGTGGTGCTGACAACGGGCGTCGAGGTGGCGAAGACAGCGAATCCGGCAAGAGACGAGGGCGAGATGAGGTCGACGAGCTCGGCGTCTATGAGCAGAGGGGATGGGCTGCGGACAGGAGTTGCGGCGGAGGATGCAAGCCGAGCGTGATCCAGCAGAGTAGGAGAGAGGTCAAGGATGAGATGGAAATGTTGGAGCGGTGCAGGCGATTTGGGGCCAGCAATTGGCGGTCTCCAGACTTGACAGGGGGACGAAGGGGGGCAGACTCCGGAGGCATCAAGGGCATGGGCCTAATCTGAACCGCCCGCAGCGGCACAGTGGTAGAGGAGCCTGAGGAGGCTAGGCTCTAGGCTAGCCCCTTGGAAGGGCCCGTTGGACTGAGCCGGCCAGACTCTTTTTGGTGGGTTTTCTTTTCTACGGGGCACCAGTTGAGGTGGAATTTGGTGCATTTTAGCGCATTTAGTGCATGTATTGGTGGCTCACAGGTTGCACCGGCTACAACAGTTGCACCACTCAGCTGGGTTCACATTGTGGCCCCCTCACGTACAGGTACATTAGTACAGTAATACTACCTAGGTAACAGAGGTACATCTCGCCAGCACACTTGCCATTACCGCTCGCAAACAGGCAGGCACGTGGATCACGCAAAATGCGTAGCAGGAAACAAAACAAGCAAGCACTCAAATCGTCCGAAACATGATATGACGGCGGTTCTGCTTCTCGAAACCGGACAAAAGGCCTGCCAGGGGGTTCGCAGCGACGGACAGTGGTTGTACCGCCGTGCAGGAGTGAGGGGACGAAACAATGGCTGGTATGTAGAGGGGGGAGATGGATTGGCGGGAAGGGGTCCAGCGAAAGGCAAGCTGTAGATTGGTGCAATGTATGGGCTTGGCCACGGCAGAGGCGTCATATCGGTCGTCGAAGTTTGGGGCTATCAGTTTCCGTGCATGTAAAATGTTACAGTTATTTGCCACCCTTTTTACATGTACCAGTATCATCAATGTGCGCCCAGGCAGAGGTATAGGGCTCGGTACTGCTACATATCACACGATGCAGCCACACCACCAGATACATGTATCGCAACATCTGGATCTGACTGCTGCAAGCCTACCTACCTACCTACGTTGCGGGGCATGCAGGGCAGCCGGGGGTTTGCAGACGGACTGGTAGGAACACGTATGTACATGTCTTACAATTTAGGTAGGTAGGTACTAGAGTACGCTGAAGAGACGAGTAGCTTCTCCCTCTGCCCTGCCGGTTCATTCTGCCTTTTTCTAGTTGGTTTTGGGCTCACATGGCCGCCCGGTCGAGGCAAAGGGGGTGCATGGTAATAATACGGAGTACACCGGTGACCGAGTACAAATTCCCGGTAGCATCAAGGCATGGCCAGGCGGGTAGGTACATACTCTATAACACAACAGTCCGTCCTCACCTCCGTAGGTCAATCGCCTACCGCCTCCAAGCCGAGCCGGTTTCATGGTGCGACTCTTGACACCAGTTGGAATTTGGTGGTGCGAGGCCATAGGTTGGCAGTTTGGCAGGGTGGGCAGGTTGGGTATCGTCGAGCGCTAACTAAAAACTGGATGGCACTTGACTCTGGAGTGCAGGCAGCATTGACGAGTTATTAGGGTCGCTTTTTCGTTAATACTGGGTCGTTCTGGTCTTCTCCACCTTTTGCTATTCAAGACTTTCAGAAATCCAACTCAGCTATCCGTAATTAATTAGTACCGAGTTCTGCCTGCGCGTTAATATCTCTCCAAACCCAGCCCTGAAATCACCTGCAAACTCCCTGCACTGCTTGACCAGATTAAATGCCTACACCGCTTGCACGGGATCATCCATGTTCATGGGGGGAAAAAGAAAAGTTTTGATAGATGGCTTCCTCTTTTCTCAACTTTTTGCTTCTGTTTCTTTTCTTCGCAACGCTAAATAATTCCGTCTTGCTTCTTCATGACTCGGACGGAAATAGACTTCTCGAGCCTCTTCCTTGGGATATCATTACGTGTCTACCTACTAGGTAGGTACCTACCTCTTACCTGCCTGCCTACCTACCTACCTAGGTAGGCACCTATCCGTTTCTGTGTCAGCTCAAAGACGTACGTCAAGGTATGCGCAGACTCGCATAGGCACAGGCTTATTATAACTAGGTAGGTAGTTGGTACTGCTGCAATTGTTCGTGAGACGCCAACGCGATGCGATTCAAATACGCCTCTGCACGGACAATGTGGGTTCTGGTTTGAACCTTCACATTCTCCTCACTGTCTGTCAAGCTACGCAAAAATCAACCGACCCTCTCCACAGCAGCCTCACCCTCGTCACTTTTACGGCCAGCCAGTCAATCACGGTTCAGCTTTCTGACGTGGGTGAAAAAAGTCAGGCCACGCCGCTTGTCGATGATGGAGGCTGGTCCGTGTTTCCTCGACGCCACTTCCCGTTGCTAGAATGCACGGATCTATCAAAAAGGACTTTTCCCCACGAGCCACGAGCCACGAGCCACGAGCGCATCCACCTCCCGGTCGCGGCACGCACAGTGCCCAGCCAATTTGGACAGTCTGAGGCTGCTGATTGGCACATCGACTCTTCAGCATCGGCGCCGGCTACCCAGTAGAAACGGTTTGGTAGCTGCTGCTGATCCAACGGCGCGTGCAGCTGGCCTGGTTGACGAGTCGCAGCTCATTACTTGCCTCCGATGCTCTGCGCCCCGCGCCACCGCTACGCCTTGATACTACCCTAAATCAACATCTCGTATAGTACCTCTCCAATAACGGCCCGTCATCTCACCTGAAAAAGGCTTCTGCCTCACTTTCAGCTCAATCTATTTCCAAGGCTTCGTCAAGAACACAACAGGATATGATACCCTTCGGATAACTCTGTGGAGCTCTTATTGTATTCCGTTTGATGGGCTTGCGATTTTCAGAGTCATGTGATGGTGACGGTGATGGTGACAGTGTAAGCGCCCTGTGAGCTGCGTCACAAGATCCCAGTCTTGGGCAATTCACCATTAAATCGGACTTTACGGGTCTAGCCTTGCGAAGTCGAGATGTGCAACACACAGGAAAGTGTATGATTCGAGATTACTACCAATACTGCTACTTCCGCACCTCTACCCAGTTATGACGCCGTACTGGTTCATGCTTGACCAACTACACTCTAATGATACATTGTATCAATAGTACTACCAGAGACAAACAATATTTTCCAGCAGTAGGATTTCAGATGGCAAGGACAATGGACCCGGTGGCAAAGTGAACTTAACGCTGTGCCTAGCAAGTGGCAAAAAAGGCAGAAATCGCTGCTGCCTATGTTTGGCATGAGAGGCATGGAAATACAGATGAACTTATCTCACTTTGGAAATGGAGGGAAAAGCAAGCTTGAAGGGCTAGTTACTGGTTGCGTTGGACGTCGACTTTACATTGTGAGATGTCGTGTCTAGGCTGTTGGCCATTTCGGCTGCTCAAACTGTGTCAGGTAAACCTCCCACTATATCAATCACGCAGTTCCTGTGAACACCATAAAAGGTCTCAATCATAAATTCAGTCTCGAGGTATTGTCTGGCGATTTTCTCTAAATATCAAAATATCATATAGCTACCTACCTAGGCAATTATCCAGGTTCGCTACTAAGATTGAATGGCGGCATGGCCACAGCGCCACCACCCCTCAAACGTCCCTTCTGGAACCCGCTAGAGACAGCCGCTAGGCCAGCCAAGCGGGTACCTCCGCCCACTGCAAGGTAGCAAAGACCACGGCTTAACCGATATATGCATCGTCCTGCATAAAATATGCTACTCATGTCGTGTGCTGTGCTTCCAAAGATTGAGCTTCCAATGAGGGATAATACATATTTCCGGTATTTTAACAACATCTAATTTTTGCTCGCGTTGGGCAGCTAGACGAGGGGGCAGCGACGTTTGGGTCCCGCCGGTTGCCTGCTAATAACATGGAAGGCTGAAACCTTCCCGCCAAATCGCATCTAATAATACCTACCCCAGTTGCCAGCCGTCCGCTGCCCAGGCAGCCTCACAACAATCAACCCGTCATCCACACTGTCCACCCAACGATCCCGACTGCCCCGTACGGCAGATGCCATCACGGGCCATATTACCCGCGGCACCTATTCTCACCATCTGAAATATCACCGCCATCCAGTCCCTTCGCGCTGCCAGCCTGCCCGATACTGCGGCTGCGCGACTCGTGCTGTTTTGTCTCGTCTCCCTCGCCACGCGACCGGCGACCGCCACTTCGTCGGGCATCCAGCCATTCTCGTGCAACTCACCCTCGTCGTACAACTTTTCCCAATCTTTCTCCATCTATCCCGCCGCGTTCACCGTCCACCGTCCGCCAATCGCCATGGATCCATTCTCCCCGGTCCATCAGCCGGACGAAGGCTATTCTGAGGACCCTCTCAACCCCCAGGACGGCTCCGCGCTACTGGCCTCTCTGTCGAGTTTCCAATCACCTTCCGACCTCGCAGGATGGATAGCACGAAATGCCTCCATGTTTCCCACCTCTGTCAAAGCCGGTATGCTGCAATTTGCTGTGCGGCTAAACCCGTGACCTTGCCCGCCTACTAACATGAGCAGAACTCACCATGGCTTTGCTGCAAGAGCTGCCGACATCTACCATCGCTGGTATCGTCCAACGTTTACGACCCAGACTTTACATTGACTTTATCAATCATCTTCCCGCCGAAATATGTCTAAAGATCCTATCCTATCTCGATCCCATCTCCCTCGTCAATGTGCTGCAGACCTGCCGTGCCTGGTACGACCTGGCTCTGGACAGGAAGCTCTGGGAGCACCTTTACCACCTTGAGGGCTGGAAAGCCTTGTATAAGGAAATAGAGGCAGAGGAAAAGAGGGTCAACGAAAACATCAACAACTCCATTAGCCAAATGCAGTCTGCCGATGGCCCTGTCAATAAGGTCCGCGCCATCATGAGCGACGACGATGAAGATTTGGAAATGGTGGACAGCGAGCGTACCCCGATACCCAAGGATAGCTTTTCGGGGCAGAGCCTCTTTGGGTCACCCGCCACCTCGTTCTCCTCCAGTCGTCGAGCCATCACGCCTCTGGGCGACGTCGACATGTCTAATTACTTCACCAAGGGGAAGGGTGTTGACCGAAGCTTTGCGCCAACCGACGCGCGGGCGAAGCGGAAAGCCCCCGACAGCAGCCCCGGACCGGCTACTCCCTCAGTTTTGTCGCAAGACTCCAACGCCCACCTGCGGTCCAAGCTATGGACATGGGACTGTGCGAGCTCCAAGCACCGACTGAATTGGAAGTATTTATACAGCATGCGACGTCGTCTAGAGTCCAACTGGGAACTTGGAAAATTCTCCACCTTCATGTTCCCTCATCCAGACCACCCCGAAGAAGGCCACCAGGAGTGCGTCTACACTATCCAATTCGACTCACGCTACCTCGTCAGTGGCAGCCGAGACCGCACCATGCGGATCTGGGATGTTCAGACTGGCCGCCTTGCCAGGGCACCGCTCGTCGGGCACCTCGGTTCCGTGCTCTGTCTTCAGTTTGATGCAGACCCAGAAGAGGATCTTCTAGTTTCCGGAAGTAGCGACTCTAACGTTTTTATCTGGAAGTTCTCGACTGGAGAGCTGGTGCAAAGAATAACTAGAGCACACAGAGAATCAGTTCTCAACGTTCGATTTGACAAGAGGATCCTTGTGACATCATCAAAGGACAAAACGATCAAAATCTTCAACCGAAGGCCGTTGCGCTATGGCGACCTTGGCTACGAAACCGTTGGCTCAGTTGCTATCGCAGTAAAACCCTACGGCTACCAACCTGACCTTGCGCAAGAGCTGCCTGTTAAACCGGAGTTTACCATGATTGGCCGCCTGGATGGGCATAGCGCTGCGGTCAATGCCATTCAAGTCAAGGGCAGGACTGTTGTCTCCGTCTCTGGCGATAGGCAAATCAAAGTGTGGGACTGGCCAGACCAGGTTTGCAAGCAAACAATTCCGGCACACGAAAAAGGCATTGCTTGTGTAGAGTTCGACGACAGACGAATTGTTAGCGGCAGCAGTGACTATGAAGTTTGCATTTTCGACGCACCCACCGGTCTCAAAGTCGCGTCCCTTCGAGGACATGCCAATCTGGTCAGAACGGTCCAAGCCGGCTTTGGCGACTTACCATACAGCAAAATCGAGGACGAAGCCGAGGCCCGACTCGTAGATGCCGAGTATTTGAAGGCGGTTGAGGCCGGAGAATTGGGTTCCGAGGGTGACCGCCGCGCTGCTCGTCGAAGTCTACGCGCCAACGCTGGCAGTTCTAAACCGGAAGACATCCAGGTATTTGGTGCCAAGGTGCCCCCTGGCGGTGGTGGTGGCCGCAAATACGGACGTATCGTGTCTGGTTCGTACGACCAGAGCATTATTATCTGGCGAAGAGACAAGGAGGGAGTATGGAGACCTGCTCACTACCTACGACAAGAAGAAGCAGCGGAGCTCGCTCAAAGTCTGCACGCTAAAAGTGTTCCAGCGATACAGGCTGCAGTGAACTCTTCGCAGGCGAACCTTCCCCTGCACCCCCCGGCCGCCGTCGTTCACCAAGGCGTGGCCCAACTCGCCCAGCAAGCGCCTGACCCCAATCCTGGTAACCAGCGCATCGCAGGTCTCTATATGGCTTACATCGATCGAGTTGTTCCCGCAGGTGTTGCGGCGCTTGAACATGCTCTGGCCAATTATCCGGGGATGCTTGGGTTCCACACGTATCTGCAGTCCACCATTGAAAGAGAGGTCTCGCCACACCTGCGACATCAGCTCCGACAAGCTGTGACAAACGCGCTGGCCACTATCCAGAATGGTCGTGTCCCACGTCCCAGACGAGAACCATTTGCCGCTTCAGCAAGCTCATCAGCTGCAGCTACTGCTGGTTCTTCAAGCGGCACTACGACTGGCAGCTCAAGTAGGAGAGTTGGAGCACCATCATCGGCTGCTGAATCATCTGTCGCGGCGCAATCATCCATGCAACCGCAACCGCAGCCGCAACAACAGGCCCAGCAAGGTGGGCAAGCGGCTTCAGCTTCAACTGCAAACCAAGTCCACGCGCCGGTCCCAGCACCAGCCGTGCCGTTCCAAGTGGCACAGGCTGCCGCCTCAACGCATCACCATCACCATCGCCATCATCATCACCACCACCCGCATCTAACACCCGCCGAGAACGCGCCGGCCCGCGTCTTCAAGCTGCAATTTGATGCTCGCAAGATTATTTGCTGTACACAGTCGCAGATCATTGTGGGCTGGGACTTTTGCAATGATGACCAGGAACTGCAAGAGGCCTCACGCTTCTTTGCCACCGTCGACTGAGCGATGAGCGGCACGCGCCCATATTTTCTTTGACACTTCATTTCAGCATAAGGCATCAGGCGCAATAGGATACAAGGAAAGCACATCATGACAAGCGTTTTAAGATTTAATTGGACAGGAAGTACGGGGCAAAGACGACGGTCAACAACGCGATATATGATATTTGAAAATGCATGAGGGAACGGCGTTTGTACATTTGTTCGACATGCGAATAGCCTAGAAAGATACAAATGTAGATAAAAAGTGAGACGACAATGGTCATGTATTCGTCTGGATGTGAACTACATCGGATATTGGGCTCCAAATAACAATCGTTATAATCGTCAGTTACAAGTGCGCCTGACTCCTGGTCATCCGAATGGAAATGCAGTTATGGGAATAAAGCAAGATGTGAGTCGCTAAGATGTCAAGTACAGAAGACGCAAAACGCATAACAAGATGAACTCCGTAGAAAACAAAAACATGGGCCCAAATTAACCGGCGACCTGTTTCACCTTGTCCTCTGCCTGCGGTGGCTCGTCCACAAACTCGGGTAGCACCTCATCTTGGAGGAAGCCTGGGACGCCACCATGCATCTCTTGCTCGAGCTCCTGCTCCATGCCAAGCGCCTCGAGTTCCGCGTCGAGCTCCGCCTCATCGACCTCGTCGGGAATGTCGTAGCTGCGCGCGAGGCTGTCCTGGATCTCGTTGCCCATGTCGAGCAGGTCTGCCATTTCGTCCTGCATGTTTTCAATCTTGTCAATGTCAATCTTCCCGTACTGCTTGCGCAGCTCTTTGTTGGTGGTCTTCATGGCGTCGACCTGCGTCATGACGTTTTTGAGATTATCCTGCATGCTCGCCGCCTGCTCCATGTTCCACACCTGGCCCTCGAGCTTGTCCTTTTCGGCCTCGTACGCCTTGCGCTTCTGCAGCACCTTGAGCGCCTTTTGCTTAATGGCCTGCTTCCCGGGGCCCTCGCGCATCCGCGACAGCTTCTCCTGGTACGCCGACAGCTCCCCGTTGATGGCCTTGAGCTTGGTGTCGACCGAGGCGATGCGCGCGTCAATGTTGGAGATGGCGCCGTTGAGTGTCGGCTTAGGCCCTGTGGGCTTGGAGCCGAACAGACGATTCATGGCTGGAAAGACGGTGTGGGTGATTTAGGTGGATGAGATGAGAAGGGGGCTTGTGTGTCGTGGTCGCTGGCAATGCGGTTTCGGGTTCGAGTAGTTTTCTTGCGCGTTGTTATTGTGCGATGGCAAATGTTGCAGCCTGGACATATGACGTTGCTGGTCACTCGCTTGTCGCTGCATGGAGGGGCAATTGGCCTGTACCGTTGCCGAGACCTGCACAAATATTGGATGAGTCAGCACGCTCGTTGCTCGAAACACAAGCGCGCACAAGGCAGCACAAGGGTGCACAAATGAAACATAGAGCCATATCAAGACTAGCGTCAGTTTTATGCAACATCTATTCACTAGATTGTAAACAAATGAACCTGTAGCACAAATCATAGCTCCACCGACCTTGCTTCCTGGAATAGACAAAACCTACGCGTCTGCGGTTGATAAAAGACGGCATTGCCTCCTCAAGCTTCAACCGTTTTTTTCGCTCCTGGACACCCGCTCCAAACCATTTAGTGATACTGGTTATGCTTTGTTTATGATACACAGTCTCCATTATCCTCTTTTCTTACTACACGGGACGATATCCTTACATCTTGAATACACCCACCGCGTCTTGAGTCGCGAAGCTCCCCCCTCACATTATGGATACACATGCGCCGCGACATGGTGGCTTCCGGGCCCTTGGTATCGAGAGGTATTTCTGCACGCAATTAACTCCCGAGGACTTGGAGCTAACAGTATTTAGACTATCTTATAGCGTGCCCGATTCATTCTTCCCGTTGGAGGACGCGCCTGCGCCTTCGACCAGAACAAACAGCTCGACATGTCCAGCTCAGTACGTTCGCCCTCGCAGCTAGCTCTCACACTATACTAATGGATGATGAAGAACATGGTCGAACCACTTCGAGGGCCCTCGGGACCGAACACAGCTGCGCGCCTGGTCACGCGTTGAGTGGCCATCCAACGTGGCGCGCAACTTCTCCGGCCTCATCATGAAGCGCGTCGGCTTTCCGACTCCCTGTGACACGACAGACATGTTGATACCCGTGCCTGCGACACCTGAAGAGCTTGACGCTCTCGCGGAGGATGGCATGCCGATGCGTCGCGTCGCCCGCCGGCTCAATGCGTACGAGCCGTCCAACGAAGAGTGGCGGATGGAGGGAAAGCCCTTGTCGAGCTTGGAGATGACTGGACTCAAGATGATGGCGCAGGCTGATGTCGTGTATTGCCTAAGGACCTACCCGACGTCCACGACGCGAGCCGAAACACGACAGCGCCGAGCCGGGCACTACGTTCAGACCGTACCTCTGAAGCGACGAGTGGGGGCGACGCCATGTGCCGGTAACAAGCTACGCACATATACAGAGATCTTGAAGCTGCCAAAGATGCCGCTTCAATTTCGCGTGCCCGCGCGCCAATTCAGCGTGTTGCCGAGCCCGAAGGCTACCAGTCCCACGCTCTCGCCTATTGCGCTCTTCACCCCGAACCAGGAGCCCGTCACCCCCGCTGCTGTCATGGAGCCGCCTCGCTGCATGTCTGATGCCAAGTCGCCGACAAAGAGAAGCCCGCGACACAAGAGCCCGCCCATCAAGAACGAGGGGCCACCCATTAGCGAGCCCGCCGTCAAGCTGCTGCCTGCGACCACGCCGAGGATTGAGCCGTCACCCATCAAGCCTGCGTCGCCTCCCCCCGCAACCCCGTTGGGTGGATCTCGGCGCTTGCGTGGCATACTCAAGACTCCGTCAACATTCCCCAAGGCCATGTCTATCGGTACCGCGTTTGCGGGCATGCAGCGCTATTCCGGTATTCGACGTGGCGGCGCAGCGACAGTGGGATTCTCGCCTACCAAGCTCTTTGGCACGCCTTGCCCGGCGCATCATAGAATTCAGTTTGCGAGACAGCCATCGCCAGCGAAGCGCAGTGTCATGGAGACACCGTCTCGACCTGTTGCTAGCAAGCCAATGTCGCCTCGCATTTTTGACAGCATCTCGCATACCGTCGCTGCCGTGCCAAGCCCCATCGCTTTCGTCTCGACCGTATTCCCAGACAGCCCCGCCAGGAAGCCGGTTGTCTTGCCCTCTTCTACGCCGCAAAAGCCGACCAACTTCGACTTTGGCACTGCATCACCTGGCTTTAACTCAGTCACGTGGTTGAATGATGCCGAAGCGATGCCACGTCCGCTGGCAAGCTTGAAGAAGGGCTCTCGAAGGCAAAGCGAGCCTCTTATCCGTGGCTGCCTGAAGACACAGAATCGCAGACAGACAATGTCGCCGCGAAAGCTTGTGTTTCAGGCCGACGAGATATTTGCTCCGTCGGGCGGCCAGTCACGGAATCGCAGACAAACACTGCCGCCGCCAAAGCTCATGCCCCAGGGCGGGCAGACTTTCACTCAATCGGGCGGCCTGTTCTCGCCAGTCAAGAGGACTGGTCAGACCATGGCAGCTTCGTTTGGAGTGATGAAGCCTGCATCACCTGGATGGTCGAAACTGCGCAACTCCCGCCGAAGCTTGGACAGAAATACCTCGCGACGAGCCTCGAATGAGGTTCTGAGTATTGACATGCGCCAAAACTCGGATATTTTTGGGTCCAAGCCTGTCTCGCTCAGCATGTCGCCCATTTTGGGCGCATCACTCGCGAGCATTGTCGAAAGCGGCCGCGAAATGGAAGGCTCTGAAGAGCCTGCCGATCTTCAACTGTTCTCGCCCTCTGTTGAGATTGAGTCTCGCAGAGAAGCAGAGAAGACCCCGCGAGTTGAAGCCCCGGCAGTTCTCGAACAAGTAGCCGTCCAGGATACCCCAGTGTCACCTATCGTGGACAGTCCGACGGGCGGATTGGGCATCGTTGAAAGCCTGCCCTCAGTTGACTCGCCTCTGATTTCAATCGAAGAGCGCCAAGAGGTCGCCGATGCCGAGCCTAGTGCTATTGCACAAAGCCCGAGCCCGGTCACCTCTACTGCTGCTTCCAAGGAACAGAGGCTAAGCTCTAGCCCCACGCTGAACCTGTCGTTTACTCCGGTTAACAGCCGAAGTTCAAACGCAGGGGACGCAAGTGTGCAGCTAGAGGAGTTGATTCCAGAAAGCCCTCTGACAGTCACAACAGAGATTGTGGAAACTGTCACTGCCCAATCCCACGATTACGACAGCCCTGGACGCGACTACATGAGGGAGTTTATTAGACGCTCACGACCAAAGCGTCCTTCCACTACAGAGTCTGGGTCCCCAATCGGCCTTTCGGTCAAGCGCCAGCCGCTGGGTCCTAAGAGCCCCAACACCGAAAGCCCGAGTAAGAACAAGCGCAAGCTCGAGAAAGAGCCCGACGAGCACGAGTCGCCTCTTAAGAGAACCTCGAACGCGTCACCCAAGAAGATTCGACGCTATGGCAAGAATTTCATCAAGGGTCCGACGGCGAACGAGGAGAAAGAGGAGCAGACTGAGACATTGGATGTCCCAGCTGCGACGGACTCTGCAGCAAACGTTCATGGAGGGGACGAGACTGGGTCGGACAACCTATCTCGGAGGTCCTCGCGACTGCGAAGCCAGACACGCCTGCCATCGGCCAAGTCTGCCATCCCCACTCCTATCAAGATTGGGTTGAACAACGGGCCTACGCTGAATGCGGCGGTTCGCAGCGTGCAGCAGGACCTGACGAACCAGACGCGCATGAACACGCGCAAGAACAGGGGCAATGCCGAGTACCCTGCCCAGGTGCTGGCTAAGAAGTTGGACGGGATGCAAGCGGAGCTCGACTTTATCGAGCGCGAATCCTCGGCCGAGCCGGAAGCACGCAAATGCGTCAACTGGAGCAACCCTTTGGCCATGTACCAAGAGGTCGCCCAGCAGAAGGAAGAGGGCAAGCCAAAAAAGGCCAAGTCCTCGACGGCCAAAACGGTGCAGATGAGCGGCATCGCCAAGCCGGTGACGCGCGCCAAGACGACGGCGGACAAGGAGCGTACTGCGCGCCTCGCCGAGCACTTTGGCATGGTGTCCAATGGCACGCCGGCGAAGCCCCAGCGGTCGACACGATCACGCATGAGAATTTAAATGCGTGAATTAATGAAAGAAGCATATCCCCTTGCCTAGAGGCAAGAAGCGGACGGCGTTGGGATAGTACAACATAGGCATGCACAAAGGAGTAAACGAAAGCGGTACATACTCATTTCAAATTTGCATCAGCGACTGGCGACATGGAGAGCCTTTTTTTTTCGGCTTGGATCATTTGCGGGATATTTCTCCCAGAGGAGTCGGGGTTTATTTTTTCTTCTCCTTTTTCTGTTATTCGTATGGTGGAAAATTTCTTTTCTTGCCTGGCATTTTCATGGGGAGTTTTGTTTCATGTATGACATATAGAGGGACTGGAAAGGAAAGGACGACGGAAACAAGTCGAGACTGATAGTTTAGCGGATATGGCTTCGTTGGAGCATAATTATTACCTTTTTTGATTCTCTCAAAGCCAAGTCGTTCAATGTGACCAGAATCCGGGCACAGACTGAGGACGGTGGTGGTGACACCAATTACACAACTGAGCGTTTGGCGCTGGCACTGACAAGTTGGATGCCTGGGTGACGTATCTGCATTACGACGCATGAGCTTTTTGTCTTTGACGACTCGACCCCGAGATTGGTGTCTTTGCTCATTATCCGGGTAGCACAACGCGATGCGCCGATGCAGGACGCTGGCTGGAAGGCCATTAAAGCAAGCGGCAGGCCGTCCGCCCTCTCTGATGACGGGTTGATGCACCCCCAGGGCGCTTATGGCCCGGATCCCCAGGTAAGTATAGTATATATAGCTGGGACAGGATGTGATTGCTGGTAGAAGAAGAAGCCCTTGAAACTGCACGCAACTAACTACTCACAATCTTTAAAGCTCAACCAACAACACATTCACCACGACCAGAGACAGCATGGATGTCAGCTTGTACAGCACCACATTGGAGGGTGATCCTGCCCTTTATGTCCACTACAGGGACGCACTCTCAAGAGATGGATTTTACGGCAAGGTTTATCGCATCTTAAAGACGGACGAGGGTGTCCTGTCAGTCAAGATCACAGCGATTTGCGGTGTTCATGCTTGGGGTTCCGGGGAATACGACGACCCGCAAGACTTTTTATTCAAGAGCTGCGACGAGGAAGAGCTCCCGGCCTTCTACCAGACAAAAGACCCAGTGTGCATGCTCTCGTCCGATTTTACCGGAGGGGAAAGTTACACGGATGGCGGCCGGCTGGAGGAGATTTTCAAAGAGCAGATCGAGGGCGATAAGACGCCAGAGGAGGTGGTGGAAAATGTGATCAGCAAGGCCAAGATCGAGAAGAGGCCGACGACAGCCAAGAGCGAAGGTGCCAACAGAGAGATGCAGAGTGCGTGCAGGGATGCTGAGAGCGAGACTAGGCCAGCAGAGGAGGTGAGGGAACCTGTGAATAAATACGACAATGTAGTGTTCACGGAAGAGATGTTGATGAGAGCCGAGAGCACAGATGCCAACAGGGAGAGTTCGCCCGGGTGTTGCAGTCAGTGCTGTTGCATGTAAAGTACCGTCATACGCAGATCGGGCAGAAAAAGGGATAACAGAGTCAGAATTCGGACTCGTCGAAGAAAGAGCTCGTGCCACCACCGATAACAGCAACAACCTGCTCTCGTGATGTGTCTCTCTCTTGTTGCATACTTTACTCTACTCTCTTTGGCGGTGGTGCGGACTGTTTGGTAAGACGTCTTGGTGGAGAGAGTTGGGTGGCGTGTCAGCGCCTGGATGATAATGTTGATAAGCTTTGTTAATTCAGGGAAGCCTCCTAGCTTGAACTGTATCTAGAAACCGGGACTAAATCGATTAAACATTCGTGTTTTACAATTGAGAATGAAGCGCGTCACCAACCACGTAGCTTTGCAATGCTGCCGCAACTACTGTCAAGTTCAATGAACAAGGGGCTGACATGTCGTACTTTTAATGTGCCTTTGTTTTCTACATTCTTTGACCCCGAGGCTCCCGAGAAGGGTGCTGGGTTAGGTTGGCATGGCTAACGTAGCAACTGCACCGCGATTCGCCGAAAAAGGATGCTTGCTGCGATGCGTCACGACGAACTGGTGCAACTATCTGTTCGGTATCATGCCATGATCAATAAAGACGTGGCAAGAGGTATGTGAGCTATCGTAGTACACAGCGGTAGGGTGTAAGAGTTCATGCGGACCAAGGGAACTAAGCCGCAGTGAAAGCTGTACGCTGCTCTTCTTGGGGTATATATATCTGGACGTCGGCGTGACTTTGGAAGCGGTCTTGACAGGCCAACTTCAACTCATCTCCATTTACAATGAGCAAACACAACAACGATTGTCCATTCCTACATTGCAACATGGCCGAGAACATACTCTACAACGTGTGGTGGCGCGTGACAGACATGGGCAACTACACTATTCAACTTCAGCCCGTGCAGCCAAGCAAGGAACGGTCGGGCAAGCTTTTACAATTGATCGAACACCCGACGAGGTGGGTTTGTTACAAGGGGTATGACTCGACCAAAATGCCCGAATTTATGGGAAAAGGGGTTTCCCGCGGCTACATGCGCGCGTTCGGGGCGGACAAATCCAACAATGTCGAAAAATTGTGGATGTGCTGCTGGAAAAATGATCGTCTCAGAGGACGCGCCTGGGTGGACAGGGTTCTCAGGGATCTTGGGACAGAATTGATGGATGATGGCTTACATGCAGTCGTGTAGGTGCAGTGAGCGGCCGCAGTCACCTTCGTTGACGGCCTTTGCTGCTTCATTTGCGTTGGAGGCAGAGTTGTTTTGTTCTATTATACGCTCTCCCGAGGTCTCTTAGTTGCTTCTGTGAGGAACCTTTCGTGGACAGCCAGACCGGGAGTCTTGTTTTCTATCACTCTTCAGTCTTCTGTCGAACGAGCAAGCTTGCGAGGCGCCGACACAGACAACCCAATAGACACACTTTTGTACAGAGTATGGAAGAAGTCTCTGGCGCCATCCTAGATAGCCTCAATCAAGCTTTTCCAAACTCAGAATTCCCAGCCGAGACCACCCGTGCCCAGGAATTTCCGACGCATTCATGTTGCACGGGAAGCCGTTTCGATGTATTAAAATGTGCATAGTTCCACCAGTTTGTCGTGACGCACTGACATGAAAGAATTAGCCACCAAGCTTGCAATACATGTCCAAGAAAAAATGGCCTTGGCCGCTGGTCTTGAGACTCTTTGCTACCGCCCGTTGACCTTTGCGTGTTTCGGCTGTGGTCTGTCTGTATTACTGTGCCACCACGGTGGATTGTAAGGCTACGAAAAAACAATGAAGCCGGACACAAAAATGAACACAAAAGCAGTGAAATTGAGGAAAGAAAAAAGGTTATAAGTACGCCAGCCGCTACGAGTAAAAGCTGTAGATGTGAGTCAAGAACTTGCCACCCTGCAGCAAGCACCAATACGAAGCCACACCAAATCCTTGCCCGCCATGGCTGCAGTATACAAGTTCGAGAATCACTCGCATTGCCCCGTATTCAAAATCATCAAGTCTGGCGCCAGACGAAGCGACAATGAAACACTAGAGTACTGGATCGATACCTCTGCACAGCTGGCGAACAGCTGCGCGGGTCTGCTAGTTACCGTGACGCCGCGAGGGGCGAAGCCTCCAGAGTGCAAGGTGCAAGCGGCACATACAGCCCTCAAAGCGACAAAACGCAAGCTCTTGGGAGATATACGGGAGTCGTGCGCGACCCAGGAGAATGCGGAGCGCTACGTGTCGGCCAAGCTCAAAACCAGCGACCCCAAGCAAGCGCTCGGCCACATTGTTGGGAGGATCATAGCAGATCTGTATATGGAGGGGGTTTTTGGTATTGCAACCCAGGATCGGAGGGAAGCAGACGAGGAGAAAGAGGAGCGGAGAAAGACAAGGGAGGAGAGGAAGAGGGAGGAAAGCAAAGCCAAGGAGAGACAGGAAAAGAGAAAAAGGAGAGACGAAGGAGAAGAGGGAGGCAAAGAAGAAGGGAATAAGAGAAAGGCGATAAGCTGTAACTATTCTGGTGCTTGTGATGCGGATTTACAGGTATAGAGGTAGTATCTTTCATCACACAGAAAGAATAGCTTCGCATGCCGCTTACACACTAAAAGCTACACTCTGACAGAAAGTCCAAAACAAATCGAAACATGTGTAGCTCTAACGCGCTCCAACATACGGGTTGGGTTGTGATACTCTGTGTCACAAACAGGACACAGAGCGCGACAAAAGGTTGTGCCAAAATGACCCTGTAGCACATGAACTCGGAAAAGGATAAGAAGGAAAATCTCGCAGTTCCTGGATTTTTTATTCTCTTCATAGTATGCCTACTCGCCCAAAAAAACTATAAGAAGCCATGGATGACACGGAACAACTCGAGTACCCAATGTACCAGGCACTGTGGCGCACCCAGCACAACGGCGAGGACGCCCTCGCCTTTGAATGGCCGGCCGCGCCCATCGTGCTCTTCCTGTACCGCTGCGGTGAGGTCAGCGAGGTGCAGGAGCTGTGCGTGCCGGCGACGCCGCCGGAGCACACCACCGAGGTCGGCTGGTTCTTCACCGCGAGCCGCGAGCAGGTCCGGCACATTTGCGCGAGCGCCGCTTTGGCGCCGCCGGCGGGCGGTGCCGAGACCGCCGACGACTGGATACGGGCCGCGAGCGGGCTGCTTCTGGAGAGGAACATTGTCTTTTGGAAGGGCGACACCAAGGCGGACCTCGTCGCGTTTGGGGCCCTCGACGAGCAGCCGGGCAGCAGCAGCAGCAGTGAGCCAGACGACGGGGGCGGCGAGTCGGCAAACAGTGAGCACGACGAGTTTGCAGAGGTTGAGGAACCGGAAATCGAAGACGCGGCAGTCAGTGAAGGGGATGAAGGCGAGCCCGTTGTGAGTGAGAATGAAGCCAGCGAGCTGCCGCCGACCATCAGTGAGCCCGAAATCATGGAGCCTGAAGTCAACGACCCTGAAATCTACGAGCCTGAAATCTACGAGCCTGAAATTGACGAGCCTGAAATCGACGAGCCCGAAATCGACGAGTACGAAATCAGCGAGTACGAAATTAGCGAGTCCGCCCCGGCGAGCCAGACGGAAGAGAACAAGGACGAGATCAGCTACGACTCGGGCATAGACTCGGGCTTGGACGACATGGAAATCGACTGGTTTGACACTAGCTATACAGAACCACAGGTGGACTGAATACTTGGTGTTTTGGCTCTGCTGTTCTCAAAGCACGAGGAGTGCCCAGGTGTGCCCCCAGGCGATGCGTCCGAAGGAGTAAAACTACGAGCAGAGGACGATGCCTGCGTTGCCTCGCGCCAAGTAGCGACGAAACGAGAAACAAGAACAATGAACAAGGTATGTTGTATGCAAAGGCAAGTATGCTGAGTGAAGGGAAAGACGACGGATCCCCCTGCGAAGGAACGCGCTTTTTGCTCGAATAAGCCAATAACCTTGAACCTGGCGAGCTGCATGTGCTGGAATACGCAAGGGAAATATGACAAATCGGAGGATGATTGGCAAAAGTTGTTTTATTGCCAACCGGGTCAAAACTACACTGGTACGATGAAAGATGTACTTATAGGTAGCTAATATTCCAACAATTCCATCTTTTTACCCCGAGACTCTGCTCATTTGCCAGCCTATACCACTATCTGCCAGGCTTTGTCCCTCGCCGATCCGTCTCTTCCATCCCGCAGTATCTTCCCTTTTCCTCCTCCATCTCATGACGGGTTCCTAACTACTACACCTTGTCTCTTGTCAGCTGATGATATTTGAATGAGCCGGCACCTACTCTTCGCCATGGGCCAGCCGACGCCAAATCTGCAGCGCCTCGCTATTGACGAGCCGCTTTGCCGCGAGCGCGTCCAGGATGGCGGCCACCCACTCTCTGGGGCCGGCCGCGTCCCCCTCGGGCGGCTGCACGGAGATGCACAGGTCGTGGGCCGGCCGGACCGCCTCGCCAAACAGCACGGCCACGGCGGTGTAGCCGGGCGGGACTCGGGCGCACGGCTGGACGGCGAACAGGAACTCGTTCTTGGGCTGCGCCCTGCGGTACCGGTGCATCACCAGCTGCTCGTTGGGGAATTCCAGGATCAGGCGGGCTTCGCTCATGGGCGAGTCGTTGCAGAGCAGGCACCACAGTTCGAAAACGGCCTGCATTTTTTTGTAGTTATCTTGTGGTTTTGTTTTTGCTATGAAACAGAAGCAAAACGCCAACAAAAGCTACGGCTGACTTCATGCCCCTTTTCTGGCTTTATATAAGTCTGCAAATGCCAGCGTGATGCACATCTCGTAGCAGTGACTGGCCTTGGCGATGCTTCTGAATCGTGAGCATCTCCGTCGTCTTTTGACCTTCTACCGCGCAAGACCTGGGCAGGGCAGGATATAGTGCGGCCCTGACTACGGTATGTTGCTGCCTGCGACACACGTGGCTTTCCTTGGGCGTATGATCAGGGGATATTGTGTGTGCCTTGAGTGCCATGATGCATGCCGCAGGGTGCATATACTACTGAAAAAGAGAAACTGTGCAACCACACCCCAGCCTGGTGGCTTACCCGTGAGAAACATGGGGATGAAGGCGGTCGGATATTTGGAGACACAAGGTTGAGAAGGACAAAGGTGTGCGCCGCACCGAGGCAATGCTTGCTAGAACTGTCGGATGAGGCTTTCATCCGGCACGCCGTTTCCTTGGCAGACCCCATGCCGAAATATATTAATATTATGCATCTGAGGGATATATTTATAGCAAAGGACTATATCGTTAAAAAAACGAGTCATCATGGTTGAGGAGTTCTATTGGTCATGCGATACCCGGGACAGTGGACCGTGTTACCCTCGAAGAGTTATTATTCACATGGCCAATTTGCGCAAGGCCCAGCTCCTGGCTCGAGAGCGTCTCACTTTTCAGTCTGCCATGCCCAAGTCTCACCCAAACTAGGCAACAAGATTGTGAATGTCTGTATCGTGCAGATATGACGTCGGAACTCTGCACTGTGCGTCGTGCTTCGAGTTACATCTGCACGAACAAGGCACCCAATGAGCGAACCAGGAGCGCACGTATATCGACGGGGACATGAATCAGTGGCGGGCACGGTTTCATGGACACTCTGCTGGCAATTCTGGCAACCTGGGTCGATTACCAACATGGTGTGCGGGCGTGGCTTGACGGCACGACGGAATTGATAAACAATGCCCTGGCCAAAGGAGACCCAAAAATATACCAGACGGCAGAAAAGAGAGCGATTCAGAGAACGATGATTTTTGGACTAGAAAACGATATCCCGAGAGTAATTTGAAATAACTAGACCAGTGCGAATAGACGCTGCTGTTCCGGCCACCACAGCAGCTTCTCTTTGCGCAGTTTCTCAATCTTGTCCAGCGCCAAGACCTCAAAGAACTGGCACTGCCACTCGTCGCGATATTTCCGCGTCAGTTCCTCCTCGACCTCGTCCTCTGATCTCCCGTCGCGCGCCTTCAGGGCGGCCTGGACGCGGGCGCGGAGCCACTTGCGCCACTCGTCGTCGTGCTTGTCCATGTCCTCGGGCAAGAGCTCGACGATGCGGCGCAGCGCCGACGTTGGGTTCTCGACCTGCGCGGCGTCGACGAAGCCTTCGAGCGCCATTTCGCCGCCCTGTCCCGTCGCGGGGTCGCTCTTCTCCCGCAGGAGCGGGTTGGGGGCGCGGGCGTCCCACGCGGCGTACGCGATGCCGCAAAAGTTCCAGCGCTGCATCTCGGCCAGCCGCGCTTTGCTGCCCCGGCAGAAGACGAAGAAGATGCGGCCCTGCATGTCATCGGGGTTGAAGATGGCGCCGCGATAGCGCCGCATGTACAGCTTGTACGGTGCAGAGGGGGCCGCGGCCGAGGAAGCCATCGGGAGCCCCGGGACTCTTTGTTTGGGGTTTGGGCGGGTTCGCGGCCGTTGGCAGGTCGGGGACATGGCATCACTCTTTACAAAGGAGGATGGGAAAGTCGGGGTTTTGAGTCTTGTCCGTGTACCAACATCTGTCACAAGCAATCTGGCCTGTGGTAGGCGCCGTGTACCACGTCTGCGCCCGTTGGCCTGTACTTCGTCAGTCGCCTCACCTCAGCTGCAACAAGACCCGAAAGCAGCAGCGACCAAGTGGCAATAAACCGGCTTCTCCCTTTTTCGGATACTCATTGTGTTACTCCCTGGTACTTTCCGAGGCTACACTGTCTCGCCTTCGTTGAGCATTGCATCGTCATGTATTGTTGGGTACCGACCATATCAGAGACATTATTAGTACAGGTCACTATGCGTATTGCAGGGATAAGAAAGAGAGGACAATATGCAGGAAACGTGTCGCAGGGATAAGAAAGATGGGAAATCAGGCACCGTTGTTCTTGCTGCTTCTGATAATGTCAAATATGTATGAAAGGATTTGAAAAAGCCTCCATCCATGGCCAACAAGGTGTGTGCCTACAGAAAGTGGGTCCGGCCCGAGCTCCCAACCAATCCCGCGGTCTCAATTCCTAGGTTGCTCGTGCAGGCTTCAACAATACTATACGGAATCAGGTACTGTTGTTCCTATTCTTGTCTCCTAATTGAGTTGAGGTGTGTGTGGAAGCCTACATCGCCACATCGTACAAGATTGTGTGCCTGCAGGAACTGGACCCATCAGAGGTCTCAGTTGCTGGTCTGCCTGCGTAAGCTTCAACAGTGACAATCACCGAGCACTACGTCGGACACAGTCTGTAAACATTGTATTGTGTTGTCGTCGGATCGAGATGCCTGGTCATGCCTAGTAAGTGAGTATATAAGAGCGCCGCCGAGCCAAGATGCTCTTGATTTTTCCAGCAATCGCAACCATACTCGCAACAACCCAGCAATCGCCACCAGACTCGCAACCATTCTCGCAACAACTTAACCGAGCAAGAAATTCTACACACTTCTCCAAGATCAATATCAACATGCATCACTTTCCCGAGTACCGCAAGTGCTCTAACATGATCGTGGATTCCCGCAAGAAAAGTGCATCTATCGCTTTGGAAGGTTCAGACGACGGCAGTGTCCACGACAAGGTCTATCATCTACAAGAGAACGGCGCTCTTGAGAATAACGACATGGAGCTGAAGTTTAAACTGGACAATGACATTGGACCGGATGCTCAGTTTTGGACTGATGACCGAGTCAAGATTCAGAAGATGGTCGAGACGATTCCTTGCCCCCAAGACGGCGATCCGCACCTCTGGTGCGCCAAAATCATGTATGCCCTGATCAAGAACAAACTAATCGACACGAAGCTTCTGAATACGTCCAAGCAAGCACCAGACCTTTGGTACGGACATCTTATTCGGCTCATGCACCCCCAAACGGAGACTAGCTAGATGTTGCCTTCGGCTAACGGTGGGCAGAAGAGATATGCGCATCACAGTGGACAGATCGTCGAGATAACTAGGCACTCCAATCACATTGCACTTTTCGTCTCGTATTCCGTGCTCGTGATTTTCCCAGGACTGAAGAAAGCTTTTACCTTGCACTCGACACTCCGATAGGGGCAAGTTGGATGATTTCCAGATACTTGCAGACCTCGTCGGCATCATGTTTACTGCGCGCAGTCTGGCAACATGTGCGCCGAGGGTGATGCCCGAAAATATGAATCCAGGCATCAAGAAAGACCGCTTTGAGAGACGGTGAATCAGACAAGTACACGCGTCGTGTCCTGCGTAGCACAAGCGGCGCGTACCTGCCCTCCCATGACTGGGCTTAGCGAACGACTTGTGTCGACGCAGTGACGCGGTGCAACAGCCACAGCTCAACCATGTTTATGCCCGCAAAGCCCAAGCGAGTGCAAAACTGAAGGCAACGACCACGATACGACGACCATGACGACTCGCTTCCCAATCATTTAACCAAGCTTGTCTCCCCCCAACGAACGACCGCCCCCCCACGACCGATAAACCACACCGACCAACCCACCAAGCACGTCGACAAAAAAAAAAAAAAAACCCCTTTCAAACCAAAACCATGACAGAGTGTCCCGTCTACCAAATCATCCTCTTACGCGTCAGCGTCGCCATCTTTGTCGAGTACGAGCCCGACGGCGGCGGCGCCCTCTTTTCCTTGACGGGCCCGGCGGGGACGAAGCCGCGGTGCGAAGCCGAGGAGCTCCGCGCGAGCCCGTTTCGGTTCCCGCAGTTTGCGGGCAGCCGGCTGCTCGGCGTCATGCAGAGACACAGGGTCGACGAGGCCTGGCAGCTGTCCCAGGCGTACGTGGACGGGGCGGACCCGCGCCGCTACGCCGAGGTGACGGACTGGTGTGTCGCCGTGGCGGAGATGCTCGCGCAACGCGACTTGGTCGTGGCCCGCGCGGCGTGGATGCTGCCGACGATTGCGGAGAATGAGAATCCCCAGACGGAGCAGGATCAGGGTAGCTAGGGGGAGGACTTTGTGTGTTGCGTTGTGTTTCTGGTGTGGTTGAGATTGCGCTGTCTTGGGAGCGAGCCTCGTTGCAAGTGGGCGTGGAAGAGGATACAAATACAGAAGCGGGAGCGAAGAAGGGATGATATTTTGGACGCAAATGATGAAAAGTGTCAAACGGCAGACATAGCTTGATAAAAAATGTCTACTAGCGCTTCATGAAAGAGCTCTTTCAGAATGCGTGTGCTATGACATCGGTGACGAGTGTATTTAAGCAAAGTCGCACCGCCCGCCACCCATACATACTAACAATCACCCACGCAATAGTCAGGGTCCACAACCACTCCTTCTAAAAACAATAACATCTATCAAAGCTACATGCCAGACATACCAACTATTCCTACTCTCGACCGAATGGCTGAACTACAGGTTCCCTCACGTTCTGACGTCGAAGCTCTCTGTAGAGTGGATGGATCGCAAGCCAACGGCTTCGAGTACAGCGACCAGATTTGGGTCAAGTACGGCATATATGTGAGGTTAACAGAAGCTGCGATGCAACAATACGTACATGAGCATGCCGATCCTCACATCGTCCGCGTTCCTCAAGTGTTTGATGCCTTTACAACAACTCAACCGAATGGTGCATCAGTGACATATATTGTCATGGAGAATGTGAAGGGCGATGATTGTGCAGCATACGGCAAATGGCATCCACAGATGGCGGAACAGGCAGTGAGTCAAATCGCAAATGCAGCCCGTCACATCTGGGAGATTCCTCTGCCGCCCAATGTTACAATCGGGCCCTTCGAACAGCAGAGACCTGTCGACAGGTTCTTCTCGGATTGTGGGTCAGATCGCAGCTTCCGGGATGTCATGGAGCTGCAAGATTGGGTAAACGCTAAGCTGGAGGAGGGAGGCCATCCTGATCGCGTTGAACTGCAAGGAGAGCGACTTTCCATATGCCATTGCGACCTTAGCCAGTTCAATATCAAGATGGGGGAGCCAATAGCTATTCTGGACTGGGGCTTCGCTGGCATCTATCCTCGCGCGTTTGAAGAGTTCGCCTTGGTTCACCAGTTTAACCTTCGAGGCCAGAAATTTGCGAAAGCGCTGCACAGACAACTTTTTGGACCAAAGCTGTCCAAACATATGCGGGCATTGGCTCTCGCAGCAAGATTTCATGCGTTCGGCTGTTAGTGGGTTTGGCAACCTCGTCTCTACATAGATATGTAACAGAATTGATGTTATTCATTTTCTTATTCGACACGAACATGGAGAATCAGCAAGTATCAGCAAGCGTTGCGTCGACTCCCACTCACAAAAACAAGAACTCAGGATCACGGCATAAACCTGCTAGACTGCGCTGCCCTGCGCTATCTGCTCTAGACTGTGCTAGGTTTAGAAGGGCTCTACCACCAGCTGGGAAAACTTCCAGGCTGGATGAAATGTTCATTTCGCCCGAGTCTTCACACGTGCCACACGGGGCACATTGCGACAAAGGGGAGACACCCCGCACTCCCCACGTCGCCAGACCGTGTTGAAAAGGCATTTTAGAGGTGCAACAATATCACAGCTCTCGGCACGACAACGTGAGCTCGGTACAAATTAGTGGTCTCTGATTTGGTATCCTCTCCATCCTTTCTCAAGAGGCCAGCTTCCAGTTGCCTGCTTGCGCAGGGTCACCAGATTCATATTCCGCCTGGAACCAAGCCGTGGTATCTGTCCCCTCGCGAAAAAGAAGCTGCCCGTATCGCATCTCCGCCTGGAACCTTTTTGGCCGCTGCCGTGGCATGCATGCCCTTTTTGTGATAGCCTCAAGCTGCAATCTACTCTGAATAGAAAGAACCCTTTGCTTCACCTGTAGCCCAACCGCCCCATTCTCACCTCCCTTCCGCTGGACCCTCCAGATCCCGTCGTGCCATCGCAACGTGCACCAAAAAGCCATGGCCGCCGTCGCGCACGCCTTTATGCGCACGCTTCGCCGCCGAGCCGCCGAGCCGCCGCCGTCCTCTCGTCCTGCCTCTCCGAACCCGCCTCTTCCCTCATCAGCCCGCCCCTCCGCCGACTCGTACGACCGGCCGCTCACCGTCGCCGTCGCCGCCATCGGCCTCATCGCCGCCTCCCACCACACGTGGCTCTTCTGCCAATCCCTCATCCGCACCCCGCGCACCGCGGCCTCGCCGCTGCACGCCCTCCGCACCGCCCTGCAGTCCCTCAAGCTCACCGCCCAGCTGTCCTACAAGTGGCTGCGCCGCGTCGAGTCCGTCTCTCGGCTGCCCTTTGCGGACCGCCCGCGGCTCGTCGACGTCGACGCCGTGCTCGTGCTGCTCGCCGAGGCGGCCGAGTCCGTGTCGGACGCCGGTGACTTGCTAGCTGCTGTGGTGGATGCGGCGGCGGCGGCGGCGGTGCCCGTGGCCGACGTGCTGCCCCTGTATACGCCGGCTGTGGTCGCGGCGAGTGAGCGCATCGGCCGCGTCGAGTACTTCCTCTCCAAACTCTTGACCATTCTCCAAATGTAACCCCTCCTTCCTTCCCCATGCACACACCATGGATAAAAGTTCCATGACTGACACCTCTTAAAAAATTCAGAAGCTCCGTCGCCGAGGCCACCAGCGCGCGCGCCACCATCGACGCCGCTCTCCCCCTCCTCCTCAGCGCCAACACGCCGCTTGCGCGGGCCCTCGCGGAGATGCCGGACCACCTGTGCGCTCTGGCCCTGGTGCCGGCCGCCCGTCTCGCCGCCGTGCGCGACCGCCCGCCCCCCAGCTACAGCGCGCCGGCGGGCCGCCCAGAAGCAGAAGCGCTGCCCGACTACAGCGCCGCCACGGCCTCGGACGCGCCGCACCCCGACGGCTCCATCACCATCCGGCCCGCCGGCTGGTGGTCCGTCTTCGCCTCGCTCACGCTCGCCGACATCTGCGTGCTCGCGCTCCTGCCGCTGCCGCTGTGCGCCGCCGACTTGCGCTATGCCGAGTGCTACACGGAGGCGTATGCAAGCCGCGTCGGGCCCTTGCTGGCCGACGTCATGGAGGGCCCGGCCAAGGCCAAGGCCGCGCAGCTGGCCGCCATATTCGGGTCGTTCCGCGAGGGCGGCCAAGGTGGTGTCACGGACGAGGAGAATTTTGCGCGCCGCGTCGGGCTGGAGATGGACAACAGGACGACGAGGGATGGACGCCCGAGGTTGCGGCCGCAGCCGAATCTGATCATTGGAGGACCGTAGTTGTCTGTCTGCGCGGACGAGTGTACTTTTACAGCAGCGCGATGGACTGGGCTTTGCATTTTCATCTTCCTCGCCGTTACCGAGTCTCTCAGCCAGATCGATGACATTGCCAAGTCCGATCATCAGCTGTCACAATAGGCCAGAAAAGGGCGCTTCTACTGCACTTGGTGCTATAATAATGCAGATAATAACAATAAATTTCTATTAATGTAACCCGTTTCTCGGTGTGAACACGCAACCTCCCCTGTACAGCACCAAGCCAATCTTACAGGCCCAATGTTTCCTCATGTTCGTTTTCTATGCATTAATGCAGTTTCTATAGTAAGAAGATCTCGCTGATCTGTAAATGGGAATGTATTATAAAGTGAAAAGGTATGCGGCTGACGAGCAGCTGTATGTAGATGAGACGATATTAAAAGGGAGTGATGGATTGGTCGTCTTGCGCAGCTTAATATTTGAGCTTGACTGGCGCGCTCTGCTTCTGGAGCCACGACTTGAGCACATATGTGCTCAGTCTGACGCCTGCACCGCAGTACTCCGTCTTGTTGCCGGGGCACAGGAATTTGCAGTCCGAGCCAGTGACATTCTTGCCAGGCTGGTCAGCAGACTGACCTCCGTCCAGCCGCAGCGTTGTGCCGCACCAGCATTCTTGTCCATACTCAACACCAGCAAAGTTGTAGCCGGCCTGAGCCGCGTCGCACTTTTGCAGACACTTTCCGATAGTCATGTCAGTAGCGTTGTTGTATATTTGCGTAGTCAGGAGACGGCCCTTGTTAGGCTCAGAGAAGCAGCCATAGTAGGTGTAGTTGACGTTTCCTTGGCTAATGACAGGGCCAGTCGGCGTGGGCGTTGCAGAAGTGGTGGTGCTGGAGCTGGTCTTTGAAGTAGTGGTAGTAGTAGAAGTGGTAGACGGTCTTGATGTCGCACTAGAGCTAGAAGTGGTCGAGCTGGACGT